GAGGCGGGCGCGGACTCGGACGGCGGCAGCAGCAGCGAGGAGCTGGTGCTCACCCCGGCACAGCTGATCCGCAGCCTGGAGCAGGTGCCGTGCGCTGGGGAGCCGGGGGCGCTGGGCGCTGCGGGACCGGGCCGTGTGCGGGCCCCCGGGCTCGCCGCGGCCGCGTTTGTGCCCTCCCGGGGGCGCGGCGTGTGGCAAGGGCGCTCCTCGCTCACGCCGGCAGCCTGCCTTCTTTCAGGCCTGGCTCAACGAGAAGTTCGCTCCGGAGCTGCTGGAGAGCAGACCCGAGATCGTCGAGTGTGTCGTGGAGCAGCTGGACCACATGGTGGGTTCTGCAGGGCTGGGGGGCGGCACAGGGGCCCTCGGTTGGCTGGACTGGCAGACACACGCCTGGGTGTCTGGAAGTTGTTTGCTCCCCTATTTCTGGGACAAAGGCTCACTGAGCACCCTCTCTGAGCTTGCCCTGGGGAGGGGCTGAGGGTTACAAGAACACTGTGCTTTGGGTCACCAAGGGCAGCCACGGTCTGATTCCATGGGTTCTGTGTACAAAACCTGTTTTACTCTGTGTTTCTTGCTGTTTGACATTTCAGCCACTCGATGTCTCTTGGCTTTTCCCTGCAGGAAGCAAACCTTAAGCGGGCAAAGAGAGGAGACCTGAAGGTGAGCGTGCACCGCATGGAGATCGAGAGGATCCGCTTTGTGCTCAGCAGCTACTTGAGGTGTCGGCTGGTGAAGGTAACACTGGCTTTGCAGCCCAGGGGGAAGAAGGGGGCACTGCTCAAAAGGAGGGATTCTTACCCATGCAGGGCCTCTTCCTTCAGCAAGACACTTAGTTAAAGCATGTTCTCTCCCTGTTCTCCGAAGTGCAGCCCAAGGGAATGAATTCTTTGGTGGTGAAGGGAGATCACAGTAGTGTTGGTCACAATGCTGTGAGTGTTGTTTCCCTCACCTAAGCCCAGAGTGGCACAGTTGAGTGCTTGCCCATTCTGCCTGAGCCCTGCCATTGCACATGTGGTTGTACAGCCTGACTGGTGTCCCAGTTTGTTCAGGAGTAGGGATTTGGGCTGGCCTGTGGCTGCTCATGCAGCTGCTTGTAGGGGAAGCCAATGGAGAGTGGGGATTTGGGCACTGAACTCTTGGGAGAGGTCTGTATCATTCTTTTGGATTTTGTTCCAATATCAGATAGAGAAGTTTTTCCCTCACATCCTGGAGAAGGAAAAGTCTCGAGCTGAAGGGGAGCCCTCCATCCTGTCACCAGAGGAGTTTGCTTTTGCTAAAGAGTGAGTAGGTTTTCGATGCATCTTCCTCCCTTTTTGTAGGTTACAGAACTCCCCTGTGTGTTATGCTGAACAGTTCTTGAGACTGAGAGCCTTAGACAGGTCTGAAGTAAGGATCAGTGTTTTACCAGGAGGTTTTCCTTAGGGGCAAGAAAAGAGAGCTGAAACAAAATAACCCTGAGTCAGTTAGTTACCAGGGTAAGCCAAGGGGCCTGTCTCTGGCTGTGCCTGTGGGACCAGGAGCTGTTGCTTGCTGGCAACAACAGCACTCTCCCTGCAGATTTGTGTTCCATTAAACCAGTCAGTGCTCCAATGGTTTGTTTCAGGTACATGGCGAACACAGAGGCTTACCTGAAAAACGTGGCCCTAAAACACATGCCACCCAACCTGCAGAAAGTGTCTCTCCTAAAATCAGGTGAGTCCATCCAGGTCGAGCTGAAAATTGTAGCGCCAGGGCAAAGTGTGGGAGCCCAGAATGTGAGGGCTTGTCCTCCAGCTGCTGCTCAGGAGAAACAAAGATGATGTGCTGACAGTGCTGTAACACAGCTCCGTGCTGCTGCTGGAGGGTCCTGCTGTGCCCTGCTCTGCAGTCCTGCCTTGCCCTGGGGCAGAGCACATGTGTGCTCAGAGGTGTCTGGGGTTCCCTTTGCTGTGCCCTGCTCTGCAGTCCTGCCTTGCCCTGGGGCAGGGCACATGTGTGCTCAGAGGTGTCTGGGGTTCCTTTTGCTGTCCCTCGGACCCCTTGGTGTCCCACGGAGGAACATCAGCAGGGGCTGAATGTTGTGCTCTGAATCCATTGTGTGCAGTTCCAAAGCCCAACCTGGACTCCTTTGTGTTCCTGAGGGTGCTGGAGCGGCAGGAGAACATCCTGGTGGAGCCAGAGACGGATGAGCAGAGGTGGGTGGGCTCGTCCCCGCACGGGTGCGGGTCAGTGTCACGGTGGGTGGGCTGGGCTGCAGCTCATGTGCCGCCTGTGCCCACAGGGAATACGCCATCGACCTGGAGGAGGGCTCCCAGCACCTGATCCGCTACAGGACCGTGGCCCCGCTGGTGGCCTCGGGCGCCGTGCAGCTCATCTGAGGGCAGCGGTAAGTGCAGGGCGGGGGGAGCAGCTGCCACGACCCCTCCCCACACACACACGGCCCGAGGCTCCCTGGAGCTCCCTCTGGGGCCACCCAGGCCAGGTCCCCTCCAGGGAAAGCCAGGGTGTCCTGTGGTACCTCAGCACTTGTCAGGGGCTCGTGTTGGCCAGGGCAGGGTCCTCCCTGCATGGTCTGTGTGAGGGGAGCACCTTCTTCTGCCAGGCAGGGGGTGACATAGGGCATCTTGTAGTGTGAGTGGCTTTGCATGTGTGGTTTATAGTCTTCCTAATTAATCCATTTAGGTAAAGAAGATTCTTTCAAGTATAGACGTTAAGAGGAGGCTGGGTTTAATCCTTAGGAATCAGTAGCACATTCCCCTGCACAGCCCCCCAGGAAGGGCTATGGATTGTGCCCTGCCCATATTTACAGCCAGACAGCTTCACAGAGGTGACTGGAGCTCCCAGCCAAAGTCCTCGTTAATCTGCTGCTGCGGGAGCGTGCTCCAGGGATCTGCCTGAGCACTGTCTGGGTGGCACGTCTGGCAGCTTTCTCCTTGGCCCTATTCAGTTTGACTGAACACTAGTCCAGACAGCTCGTGCTTGCCACCACGCTGCATCTCACGTGGCTGCTGCACTGCAGGCATGGGTGGCACTGTCCTCTTCTAGCAGCTGAACCTCAACTGACCTGGTGGTATCCAGAGTGCCTTTGGTGCAGCTCCTCTCTGGAGCCTGGCAGCTGGCACACAGCAGTGTCCTCACAGGCTGGGCAGGAGAGTGGACATGGCTGGTAGGCTGAGATCACTCAGGCTCCAAGTGAGAGTCAGTTGTGGCACACCTGAAAATGCTGCTACCTGCTCTTGTGTCCTTCCATGACTAAATACTGGGACAGCTCTGGAACTGCTAACACTGCACCTCTGTTCTGTCTGTGCTGGGGGAAGGAGGTGTGTCCACAGCTTTGTTGAGAAAGTGATGGTTTTTAGCTTGTGCTTTTAGGCAGAGAAGATGCAGCAGTGCATGCACCTTAATCTGTGCCACTGGGAGAGACTGGGCAGAGTGAGAGCGGCTTTCACAGGGCCTGCTGTAAAACTTGGGCTCAAATATGTTCCCTGTTCCCTGCTCCCCCCGGGTGAGATGGCTTTGGTTTGCTGAGTGATTAGCTCTGAATGCAGAGTAGGTAGATGGTGAAAGAGGTCGCAGGGAGGGCACTGATGGTGAGCTGTGATTTCCCTGCCTGAGCCGGATCTGCTCTCCCAGGGTCCAGAAAAAGGTGGGGCAAATGGTTTCATTGCTAGGAAGGCACTTTCAGATGTTCTGCTGACAGGCTGGGGCTGAACAGCAGGTTTTTGCCAGCCGAGCACTGGGTTCAACCTCACTTTGGTCATGCCATGAGTGGTGTCTTGCCTTGTACTGCAGACATTCAGACACGGTGGTGATGAAAAGCCGTGTAGAAATACTGATAGGTCGGTCAGTTGTGTCATGAGCTGATGAAAATCTGTGCTGTCAGCAGGAACAATCAGGGCTGCTTAACATAAATGGCTAGACAGCTCTGGGGAGATTAGCAGGGAGTACAGGGCAGGGGTGATCTGATTTAGGTGACAGTCTTTAGTGTCAAGGAGTCACATGTGAGCTGAACAGTGAAGGTGATTTTGAATATAAATGTCAGGGACACCACAGTGCTCAGGTGTGAGCAAATTTCTTTCCCAGTGCACACAACTAGGGTAAGAAGCTTCTGAGGATGAGCCCAGGGTCTGGGCTTTTCTTTGTTCTTAGACACCCTGGAAATAGCTGTCTTTGGACAGGCACCTGAAAAGGGATGTACAAAGCCCTTCTGTGCCTCCCCCATTGAAGACAACGTGAGAGGAACGTGCTCCTCTTCCTCCCGGTGCTGGTAGTTCTTCCAAGAGCACTCGCGTTTCTCTGGCACCAGGAGCCCTTCCCGTGCCGTTCCCCCCGCTGTCCCCCGCCGGGCCCGTTCCCGGTGCCGTTGCCCCGGGGGTCTCCCCGTTCCTTGCCCGCTCCGGGGGGCGTGGCCGGGGCGTGGCGGGGCGTGGCCTCGGCGCTGATTGGCCGAGGCGGGGTGTCCCGGGCGCGGGCGCTCCCACGGCCCCATTGAGGCGGAGCCGCCGCGGCGGGAGCGGAGCGGAGCGCGCGGGACGCGATGAGCTGCGGCGAGTGAGCGGGGCCGGGGCGGGCGGGGCCGGGGGGCTCGCCGGGGCTGGCGGCCGGGGCCTGACCCCCTCTTCGCCTCTAGGCTTTTCCAGGTGTGCGGCAGGCGGGCTGTCGCCCCCCCAGCCATGCCCGTGGACCTGGCCGTGCGGCTCTGCCTGAGCCACTCGCCCCCCATCCGCAAGCTGCTGAACTCCTACGAGGAGCTGCGGGGCAACCGAGGCCGCAAACCCCTCCGATCCTGTCTCAACCAGAAGCCGAGTGCAGAACCTGAGCCCGAGCGGCGAGACAACACCAAGAGCTCCAAGGGCCAGAAGAAGAAGCGAGTCGTGTTTGCTGATATGAAGGGGCTCTCGCTGACGGCCGTCCGCTTCTTCTCAAGGATTGAGGAGGACCTTTGTGACTTGCAGCATGCCCTGTCAGACCTTGCCTCCTTCCGCCCCAGGCTGTGGGACTCACGCCCAGAAGCGTGCAGGTACGTGCTGGACTTCCCACAGCCCTCAGTGGACTACACGGCTTTCCGCAGCAGCCTGCACAGGAACCTCGTCTGCCTGGAGAGCTGTGTGATCCAGGACCGTGCTCTGTCAGGGACAGTGAAGGTCAGAAACATTGCCTATGAGAAGAAGGTGGCAGTCCGCATCACCTTTGACGGCTGGAAGAGCTTCCGGGACGTCCCCTGCCAGTACATGCACAGCACGTACGGCTCAGCCGACACAGACATCTTCTCTTTTGAGCTCACCCTGCCCAAGCCAGCCAGCGGCCGCAGGGCCACCGAGTTCTGCATCTCCTTCCAGTGTGGACAGAAGACCCACTGGGACAACAACCATGGGAAGAACTACAAGATCTGCCATGTGGGCGGATCCTCCCGTGCCGTGAAGAGTGCCAGTGGGGCCTGGGAGCACCTTGGCACCTCTGGGGCTGCCGCCCTGGTCCTGTCTCACCTGCAGACCTGGCAGCGTTCAGAGACCCAGGCTCCTTACTGGTAGGAGGGCGGTGTGCGAAGACACGTAGGTCCTCTCCACATCCCAGACATGGTACAAGAGTCTTGGGGGAAGGGTCAGCTGCAGAAGATGCTGCTCACAGTTCTGTTAGCTCCTCCACGGCTCTATGAGCAGCTGCCGGTCTCTGCAGAAGCTTTTTCCCTGCTGGCTCCTGCCACAGAGGCTGGAAGCTGCTGCTTGGAGTGACTCCTGTAGGTTCTTGCAAGTGACAAGGAACGGGCTGTGGGCCAGAGCTTGCGGCCAGGCCTGAGCCACGCGGGGAGCCACGGGGGCCAGTGCTGCCCAAGTGCCTTGTGTGGAGAGGGCTGCTGGGGAGGGGACGGGCTCCTCGTGCTCCGCCGTCCCGAGAAGGGCTTAGTGTGGGGCCACCGGGCCAAGAGCAGCGGGGGCGCCTCCGGTCGTTGGTGCTGTAACGGGGAGTTTAATAAAGTGACGGCGCTTTGCGACTCCTGCCTCTGCCTCCTGCTCTTCATCCTCCTCCTGCTCTTCATTCTCCTCGTCTTCATCCTCCTGCTGCTCTTCATTCTCCTCGTCTTCATCCTCCTGCTGCTCTTCATTCTCCTCCTCTTCATCCTCCTCCTCCTCTTCATCCTCCTCCTGCTCTTCATCCTCCTCCTCCTCCTCCTCCCCTCCCACCTCGCGGGGCGGGGCCGGCCGGGCGGGCGCCCCCTGCCGGCGGCGTGGAGAGCGGGCCGGCCCTGCGGGCGCGGCCCCGCGGGCGGCGCGCTGACGTCACGCAGGCCGCGCGGTGCGGGGGCGCGCACGGCACGTGGCGGGGCGGAGCGGGGCCCGGCGGCGGCGGCGGCAGGTGAGTGAGGGAGCGGTGAGGGAGGGACCGACCGACCGACCGACCCACCGCCCAGGGCGGCCCCCGCGCCCCGCCCCGCCCGGGTCCGGGACGGCCGGACGAACCCCGGCCCGGCCGCGCACCGTTATCCCCGGGAGCGCGGCCTCCCCGGCGCGGCCGCGCGCACCCCGGGGCCGGAGGCGGCCGGAGGCGGCCGGGAGGGCCGAGGCCCAGCCCTGCCGGGATCGCCGAGGAGCGGAGCCGAGCGCGGCCCTCCGGGCGGGCCCTGCCGCCGCTGTGCGGGTCCCGCTGCAGCCCCGGGGCGGCGGTGCGGGCCGCGGGCGCTGCCCCAGCCCCGGGGCGGTGCCGGACGGGCGGGGCCGCACCGGCCCGGCGGTGACACGGTGCACGGGAGCGATAGCTGAGCCCTCGCAAGGCCTCGTCCCCGGCTCGGGGGGCCGGTCTGACCTGTTCGCCGGCGTGAGTCCTGGTTCGGATGGGTGACGGCTCCGGCATAATGGGCACGTGTGGCTGACGAGCCGCCTCTCCCAGGACATGGTCTGTGCGTGTGTCTTTGAAGCACTTACCATATTCTTAGCGTTACTGGTACAGCCGTGTTCAACCAGCAGCTGGAACGCACTGTACAGGGGAGCAAGAAGACCTTCACAGACTCTCCTCTGCCCTGTGTGCTTGTCAGGTACCTGTTAAATCCCATCCTCAGGCTGACACTCCATAGCCAGGTGAGGGTGGTGTCTGGAGGGGAGTCTCCCCTGAGCAGACTTGACTGTTGTCACAAGCCTTGGTCCTGTGCATGTACATCCTCCCCCAGCAGGGCTGAGGTGCAGGGTGTGTGACCTTTTCACTGGTCCCCGTGCCCCAGCAAATTCCTCTTTGGCTAATCATCATCAGTAATTCTCTCCCTGGGGTAACTTCCTGTCCTGAACTGTTTGTAAAGCTGCCCTGTGTGACCGAGGATGAGATGTACAGGAGCAGAGGAAGTGATGCCTTCCCAGGAATTTGGGTATCTCGCCTCCTCAGTGCTCTGGGATGCCCTGAAATGAGGGAGGCGATAAGATCTCTGTCACAAGGAAGGGCTTTCTGTCACTCCTTTCCTGTGCTTGGGACCTGATTGCAGCATCCCGTGCCTTAGGCACGGTTGTGGATGAGTCTGCTCTGCCTGAGTCTGAGGTGTGCGTGGTATGAAAATACAGGACTGGTATGAAAATACAGGACGATTGGCAGCAGGGGATGATTCCTGAGTCTGTGACAGTGCCAGGCAGTAGCTGGAGTCCTGGTCCGAGTCTTGCTGTGTCTCAGGAGCTTCTCTCAGTGGTGTGACCTCACCCAAGCACTGCCTTCCAGGTTCCAGAGCCCACTGTCCCTGGCCTCCTGCCACCATCTCTGCGCTGACACCTCTGCGAGCTGCTGACTTGGGTTGCTCTTTCCTCCGCTGCTGCTGCTGGCACGTGAGTGCCTCGTCTGCCAAGAAGCCAACTCGCTGTTTGAAGAGCTTCCCAGCGACACAGGCTTCATTCGTGTCTGTAACAGCCCTTCAGCGTGAGTGGATGCCAGGGGCCTCCAGAACTGAACCCGTTCCAGGCGTCATGCGAGGACCTGCGCCGGCACCCGTGTCCTCGTGGGGAGAACAATAATAGCTCCACACACGGTAGGCTCCGGCGAGTGCCAACTCCCTCCATCTCCTCCAATGCAGGCTCAGGGATGGACTCCACCTTGTCCCTCTGAAGAGACTCTGCATGCTCTCAGCAGCCGGGAGGGGATTCTGCTGCCAGCTTCTCCACGAGCTGCCCCACTGCAGGACTCGCTCGGCAGCAGCCTGGGAGGGGACCCGCGGTCGTGTCGCTGCCGTGCCCCCTGCGCGCCCATGGACGGGCCGGTGTGCGTGTGCCCTCTGCTCTGAGCTCCTCGGCTCGCCTGGCCTCCTGGCAGACTCTTGGCTTGTTCTCCCAAGTGCTCTCCCTGATCCCGTTGCATTCCCTGTCTCTCAGGGCCCCAAAAGGATGTGAACTTTGGAATGGGGTCTGTGAGCAGGCTGCGGACTCGGTGCGTGTGTGAGACTGTTGCTCAGTAACAGGAGGACTGGTTCATCGCTGCGGGCAGTCCTTCTGTCTGGCTGCAGGGCCCCGGCCTTGCCTGGGCCCTTCACCATGTTCCTCCTGCTGCCCTTTGACAGCCTGGTGGTTAATCTCTTGGGGATTTCCATAACTGTCCTCTTCACTCTGCTTCTGGTTTTCATCATCGTGCCAGCAATTTTTGGAGTCTCCTTTGGTATCCGCAAGGTTTACATGAAAACTTTATTAAAAATTTTTCAGGTAAGTTGTGTTTTCAGAATCTTCTGTGTGTTTGCAGGGGTTTTGTCAAGTGTGGTCGTGCTAGGAAGAGAGGCTTTTGCCTCAGCAGGGCATCGTGGATGACCAGGGTGGAAGGTTGGGCTGTTGGTGTCATGCTGGGGCCAGATGACCCATTTGGCTCATCTTGGCCAAATGTGGTTTACCAGACCTCTGTCTGTGGGCTGGTTTTTCCCTCTAATTAATCTAGTAAGTCTTCAAGTAAAGAAACAGGCTGGTGAGGTTGGGCAGCCAGCAGGGATGCAGCAGGGTCTGAGAGGTGCTGAGGGATGGCTTGGAGGGGTTCCTGTCCCAGACAGGGCAGAGTTCTGGTACCCCTCGATGTGGGGTGATGGGGAGGGACCAGCCTGCAGCCAGCAGGTTGCTCCTCTCCAGGACATGTTTGGACGAAGCAAAAGCAGGAGGTAAGGCAGGACTTTTGTCCTGCAAGCCCTGAGTGGTCTGTGGCCAGAACCCAGAGCTCTCAACATGCTTCTGTCCTGGAGTGTCGCCTGCTGAGCCGTGTCTGGACCTGCCACCTCAGAGGACGACCAGCAGCCCTTGCCGACCCTCTTGGCACAGAGAGGCCAAGTGGAATTTTCCAGCTTGGGGTCATGCTGTTCCCTTGCCTGCCTTTGGCGGTCTAATTTTGTGGGCTGTCTCTGAGCCAACACCTCTCCTTGAAGCAAGGCCCTGACCAGAATTTTTTATCTACTAAGAGTAGTAGGTAAAGCCTACAGCACCCTACCCTGGCAGCCCAGGTGAAAGGTGAAAGAGCACCCTGTGCTTGCTGGGGAGGTTTTAGACTCTTAAATGTGGAGTTCATGCTGCTAAAGGGTTTATGGTACAGCTGCTGCTGTTTGAACAGGGCTGGTCATCCTCAGAGTATTTCTGGCTGGGATATAACTGTGTGCTGATTGGCTTGGGAAGCCAGCCCTGGAGCTCACAGTGTTCAGCTCTTTAAACTCCCAGTCCCCCTAAAAGCCTGAGGGAAGACCCTGGTCTTTGTGAGGGGCTTTGCTAACACAGGTGTCTGAAGACCTGACTTCAAATTTACTGACTGAAGCAGGGGGAAAAACAAGAAGTTTGGTTTATCTGAAATGGAACTTTTCACCTTGTTTTCTTTTTTTTCCCCTTCAATTCAGGAACATTTACTCTCAACACCTATTTTGGTGTTTGAACCTATTTTTCTGAAGAGAGTGGGAAGTGTATTTCAGGTTTTATCAAAGAATCTTAGTGGTGGGATAGAGGAGCACTCACACACAGCTGCTCCCTGAGTTGGTGGGAATTCGCTTGTTAAGTTTGGTCATTCAGAATTGCATGTTTGGGGGCCATTAGTTGCCCAAATGATTTTCCCAGCTCTTGAGGCCAGTGTTGGGAACCCAGAGGGGCAGCAGTCTGGTCTGGCAATTGGTGGGACACAGCCTGAGCCATGGGGCCTGTCTGGCAGCGACACACCCGTGTCGGTGGGGAGGGAGAGACCTGCCTGGTGCTGCCCAGGTGGGTTTGCTGCTGCTGCAGTCAGGATGGAGATGTGCTGGGCTTGCCATGAATGCCTTCTCCATAGGCTGCTCAGCTCCTGCGGGGTCAGAGCTCCTCTGCTGACTTCTCTTGGGATGGCAGTGTCTAGGCAATCTTCTGCAATCCTGCAGTTCCTGCTGCTGGCAGAGGCGGCTGCGAGGTGAGCCAGACACTCCGTGTGCAATCAGCATTCCCACATCGCTGCCTCCTGAGAGCAGGATGCCAGGAGTTCCCAGCAGTTCCCCTCCCTCACAGATAAACATGTTGTATACAAGGGCTCCTCCTTCGGAAGCTTGTCCTCCCAGGCCTGGGTGATGCAAGGAGTTACGGGC